AGTTAAGTATATAATAACTTAGGTATAGTTTTCGCATGCTCGACAGACCGGTCTTCTACATAATTTTTTGATATTTTATTCTGTTTTACCGTACACAACAGGGTAGAATTAATGTTGTTTTTTTTCTCTTGTCTTTTTGTTACTTCAAAACTTCACGAAGATGAAGACCTTAAAAGAAGATAAAAAAAAAAAAAAAACAAAAAAAACAAAAACCCCAGAAAGGTGGAAAGGAAAAGGTAACGATACCTGTTTTCCTTTTTTCTTTTTTTTTTGTTTTTGTTCTTTCTGTAAACTTCTCTCAACTTTTTACACATTCTACACGTTCAGGGTCAGATATCGTATTTCAGACAGACTGTAATTAAATATCATTATTTAAGAAGATTTCCAACATGGAATATGTTCTTCTTGTTTTTGTGAATTTTTATTTTTTATTTTTAAAATAAAAAACATATTTATACAAAAAAATAATAAATCAAATATAAATAATATGGAAAAACAATAATAATTATATAACTTTAACGCAACATTAATTGATGAAATTTGGTAACAAACATTATTTGCAAAGAAACATTTGCAGTATCATTGAATTTACAGTATCATTGCAGTATATTTTTTTATTATATTACATTGCAACATACATTTGCAGTATCATTGAATTAGTAATTAATGAAATCATTTGTCAAGATTGAGGTTATGTTGAATTTTTATTTCATCTAAATTGTTCTCTCTGTTAACAACCTTCATCTTTTTTCTTTTACTTCATCTTTAACTTCACTTTTGAAACACCCTTTTCTCGTTTTTCAGTACCCTTCTTCTTCTTCTTCTTCTTGTTCTTCTTCTTTTTCTTGTTTCTATCCCCCCCCCTTCCACCATTTTCTTTCCTTTCTTTGTTTCTTCTTCTATGCGTCAGACTTTTGCTCTGGCAATTTTGCTAATGGCCCTTTGCCGTGTATCTCTTTACCCTTATATTTCTTTACTTTTTTTTTATTCTTGACTTTATTTCTGATTTTTATTTTGATTCTTCCTTCCATTTTTATTTTTATTTTTTGTTTATGTTTTCGTCTCTTTTTCTTGGCATTTCTAACCTCCAAAGATTTGCCTCGTTTTCAACGTACCCTTGGGAAAAAAACACCTATGCAATTTTCTTTCTTTTTCTTTTTCTTTTTCAGAGTTTATTCACAGTTTATTTTATTTTTTTTTCTAATAATATATATATATATAATTAAAATGAAAATAATCAGAGTAAAGTTTCGTAGAGTTACCCATCCTTATTGAACGTTACAAAACAACTCTAAAGTCGATTTCCTGGGACATCGAAGGTTCTCGTGATACAACCAACCCTTTTCCCACCTTTCACCCTCTACCATTCTGTTTACCCCTTCCTCTTCTATACCTTTCTCTCTCTCTCTCTCTCTTCATTCATCCGTTTATCTCTTCTTCTAGCTTCGTGTCCCTTGTCGACGAGATGATAGAAAATAGAGGAGGTTTGGAATGTAGTAGAATAAGGAAATGGTTGGGTGTTCGAAAAAGAAGCTAAAACTTTCGTGGCAAGTATCGGCGAGTAGTAGAACTCTGAGTGTGCCAAGGGAAACGAACCTCGATTTACTAGAAGAAGAAGAAGTAGAAGTAGAAGAGGAAGAAGAAGAGGAAGAAGAAGAAGAAGAAGTAGAAGGAAGAGGAGGAAATTTGTTTCTGCCAACAACGAAAGATACTCGTCCCTCAGGAGATACCTTTCAAGAGCCACGTAGATAGAAAGAAAGAGAAAGATGCTATAAACTAACTGTGAGTGAGTGAGTGAGTGAGTGAGTGAGTGAGTGAATGAAATAAAACGAGAAAATGTCGTGTACGTTTTTCAAATATAAATAGTATATCAACTATACGTTGAAAAGTATAAAGAATATTAAGATATTTGTTATAAA